TCGAGCACGATCAAGGACTAACTGATAGAGATAGGATGAGATAGAGAGAAGGAGGATGGATCGAAGGAGGATGCGCCAGTGAGGAGACAATTCAATTGATCTGGAAGATCAATCTTCTGCTGGAGGCAGAACACAGAAAGTCTGGGTGTGTCTTACAATGGACCCTTTCAAATCATTCAGTTCGGGTTCTTGGCCCCTGAACAGGGGTCCGTATTCGACACACCCAGCATGCTGGAACAGGAATGACATGCCTTGTGCAATATCAGGAATGGACGACATCCTTGCCCTCCGACATGGGGGGCCATTGGCCATTCAGTCAGCTTCTTGCTTATTTCTGCTTTTCCGGTTTGGGTCAAAGGTTTAAGCTTACCCCCAGGCTTGCTTTTGGATGATTAATGATGATTTTGAGCGTGCTTGGCTAAATTGTATATGCACTCCTTGACCACTTCAGAACCACAAAACTTCTGTTCGTTGGTGACCTACAGTCGACTCGATATTCCAGCGTTGCATCTCCAGTGTTTTCTTGTGGCTGACCGTGCTAGTTAAACCATGTACCCAATCAGCATCCCGACGGCCCCCTCCATTCATCCGCCTTGAAGGGTACGCTAGCTAGTCGTCGGTTCCAAAATCAGGACCCCCGGACCTGGAGGCTCTCATGCTTTTTTCCACAAGTTCGGAGGGCAACCTCTTATACAACTTTGAACTGAGTGTGTTGGTAGTCTACTTTCCGTTTCACAAGGGGTTTTCAACTGGGAAGACCTTCGATTTTGAGGCGTGCAGAATATACTTCAAAGGTACCAAAGGTATCTCCAAGACACCCTGCGAATTATCACTTGTGTGGTCACTGGAAAGATATCCGAAGTCAACTGTCCTGGCCACTGCTGGGCTGTGCCAGACTGTTCAAAACTCGGAGAAATCCATTCCTGACATTCCACTAGGATAGACAAGAGCGGTGGCGTGAACATCGGGTGAATCAGAAGAGAGAAACGCTGATCTACATGACCACTGCAGTTCATTTTCTCTGTGAAAACAAGTGGGAAGGAATCACCGCCAGGGGTTGATCTTCAACATTCGACCCATTGGATTTGGGGCCTCCAAAATTCACCCTCCTTTTGGCTGGAAGAACACACCAAATCGAATTGATGTCCGGGAGGTCTACGACTGACTCACAGTTTCTTTGAGTTGTTCTTTTTGGGTGAGGATTTGCCTCATCCTGGTTCGGTCCACATACTGTACTACATTGTATAATCTAATATCATGAGTTCACCTGAAAACAAGAGTAAAACACCGAGCACTCACCAACTTGCCATGATTCCATTTGACCCGCATTCGCATGCGCTTCTGATCTAAGAAGCTGAAGAACTTTTGAACCTCTTCTCCCGTCTCCCAGATAGTTTCTGAACTGGATCGGCCGGAAACCCTATCAAATGACACGCAGACATGGCAGGCATGGTGAGCACTAGATCATCCACATCTGTCTAGGGACAGTTCTGGACACCACGCCGCAAAGCATGCAAAGTGGATGAAACCGTCCCTCGTGGAGAGACCTTTTCTTGTTTTCTTCTATGTATAGGTACATCATGCAATACTCTGAATCTCTCCACTTGTATATGGCACATCCCAAAGCAGATCAATCTGAGAACATCTGAGAACCACAAAGTAATCACGAATTCAAGAAAATACACAATTCTCATGTGCGGACGCCACTTCTTTTGTTGTGCAGTCCTGCAGGGAGGTCCTATAGAGGGCGGCATCATGAGGGCGATGTGTGCGCGTTTGTGAAGCGCGCAGCTGCGTGTCCTGGCCATCGCCATTCAGACTAGCTGCTCAAGTCCATATCACTGCAATCTATAGGGAGCCTTTTTAAAGAGAAAAACACACACGTTGGAGGTCTTGTCCCCTCCAAGCACATCATTGGGTTTGCATCACTTCCATCACATTCACGATGTTTCGCCACGACCTGTGTCGAGAGTTGTTCGATCCATCAGAGCTCCGGATTCACAAGGCTTTTTGCACATGAGGTCCCTCCGGATGTCCGAAAAGAGGCTTTGTTGCTTGGTTGCTTTGGCTGACAGAGTTGCTTGGCCACGTTCCCTGGAGTATAAAGAACCTCAACTTAAGGGTCAGGAATTGTCATGAAATCGCAGTTCCCCGCAAGAAAGATTGGTGCTCTACCTCCAAGAGGACTACTGCACCCGACTTCATGAGACGCACACCCGACTTCACTGCGGTTTGCGTCGACCAGTTAGACCCGGGAGTTGGATCAGCCGGATGATCAGAGAGGAGAATTTCTCATTGCAACCTGTAGACGACCAAGAAAAGCACCAAGCAGAGTGTAAGATGCTGCACACACACACACACACTAGTAATATACTGGATATGTTCTTCTGTACATTTTTGTTAATACTACTTTGCTGGATGTGTTGGTGATGAATTAATGTCCTCATGACCTCTTGACCTTTGACCTTCAAAAAACTGCGGCTTCAGGGCTCAAGAATCACTGTGTTGTTCTTCGATCCATTCTTCGAAGTGGAAGCACTTCGATCCACGTGTCCCTCAGCCGTCCTGAAGTGCACCCGTCCTGGACCGCCTGGTGGAGCCGGCGAGAAGGGTCAGACATGGTCAGACGTGGGACGTGGTGGGGGGAGCTGGATGTGTTCGTTCTTGGTGGATGCGTTCAGGTTGATAGAGTCTGATAGAGCATCATAGAGGATATGCATGGATGTGCATGGATAGATATGCTGCTTTCTGGTACTTGGTGCTGTTGATATGCGTGATTCCAGTGACCATCCAGTACATGAATCCAAATTTCCCAGTGACATAATGTTCACGGAAAAGTTGGGGGTCCTTGGACCAAGTTTCTAGATACTCAGATACTGTAATCAGCCTCATTGTAAGGAGCAGATCAGCTATCACAAGCATAATCATGCGGCAGCCAATAAGGGATGGTTGAGTTTCCATGCGGAAATGACCGTGGATGGACATGGGCAAACTCACCAAAACCACAATAGAAGAACGCACCAGAATATACCAGAATATGTGCTGTTTTGCTGAAAGGCTCACCATCCGGACCATCCCACAAAATCCGACAAATGTGGCTGGTGTGTTTTGGGCTTTTCAGGCAGAAGATCGATTGGTGCGATTTGGGTACTTTTTCCCGGAGAAAGTTTAGTAAGGAATGAAGGTGACTGGTGAATGTTGTTTCTCTGACGCCAATCCCATGTTTGGACGATTCGCAGGGTGCGTTTCGAAGGAACAGCCTATTTCAAGTGCAAAGACACCGCAGATCGGTCTTCTGGAGCATCAGTGCAGTCAAGAACTAGGACGTCAAACAGAACCTGTACAGGCAATCACGGCCAGTTCCTAGTATATACTGTATATATATATAGATCTCTTTTTATGGCCAGTCAATGTATTGAAATTATTTGCATTTGCCATGCCTGAATGATTGTTGTGACTGGAGTTGATGTAGTCATGTCAGAAAGACTTGTGTGCTCAAACGGTTGGGTTATGACAAAATCCTTGGTCAGGACAAGAAGCAGGTGGGAGCTGGATTCTCACTGCGTCTGCTAACAAGAAACCATTGAACTTGGGTTGGCTTCCTGACCTCTTCTTGCTTTAGCCCTGAGGTCTTGTGAGGTGTTGTGGAGAGGGTTGACAGCCAAGCACAGGTCTATCTCCAAGGATCTAATGACTGTCTTCAAGGATCAACTCATCAATTTGGCTTGGAAAAAAGGGTGGACCTGCATACGAGTTTATATACCAACCATGAAATGCCCTACAATGACAGATATGGGTACCGGTCATCCCACATCTAAAAGCAACCTTTGGGTCGGTTCTCGCAATTTTCAGACAAAGCAGGAGGATGCAGGGTAGCTTGGCTGAGTGGCTGAGCCACGAGTTGCTCTAGATGACATATATTATATAACGTGTTTGAAAGATGATGTTCCTGGATTCCTGCATGAGGTAGGTGACGTGCCTAGTTTGCTGTTGGGAGGTTTCAAATAGGGTTGATTTGGGCGTGTTCTTTAGCTAGCCATTTGCCAGCTGCCAGCCACCCTATGCAGACGTCCATGCAGCTTGCTGCTGCGCTTGATGTTTTGGAAGTACTGCATATCTCTAATTCGCCCAGAGACGGCACCCTTTTCATCGGTTTCTGAAGTTGTGATTCGCTTTGCAGAAGTGTGGTTGCAAACAAGGTCCATGGGGGGAGCTAAGGATGTTGTTGGAGCTGGTGTGTGAGTCAGGAACCACTATCAGGTCAACTGGTGAATTGAAGAGGAACAATCCAAAGATATCCAAAGTACAGACATGGATGAACTACCACATTACCACACTAAGTGACGCTAATTAATACCATGTATCCGTCCCGACTCGGGGATTCCATCGGACACCCCATCGGCCATAAAGATCCAGATATATTATAACAGACAGACTAAGATTCGTTTTGGGAATCACAAAACCATAGACCGTCGTGCTGCGGAATATCTTCCACAGCTGTACAGCGCCAAGATCTCGATCTGCGTCACAAGTGCGTGAAACCAGAGCCAAGATCTCGGTCCTCTTCGGGAGCGAACACGGATTTTGCCGGTGGATCTGAGTGGAAACCATTCATGACAGTCCTGAGTGGCTCTCGCAACCAATATTGGACCTGCTAAACATGAAGTCTCAGAAGAGAAACAAGGGCCCGACCCAAACAAAGCTGGAATTTGTGCAGCCGCGTAGCCCTCATTAGCCCTCTATGCCCATTCTTATATAGGACTTCATTTTGTTCCATTACTGCCCTCCCTGCCAAGTGAACCGCACCTTCAAAACTATTTTGCCCTTCCGATTCCAATCGCCGGTTTCTGGCTGTTTTCCTCTAGTCGGCAGCTTTCGTTCTTCTCGTCCTTGTGTCCGACCCGCGCCACGCGGGTGTCACCCCGATGGTGACGTGGGTGGTGAAGACACCGCACGTCTTCCCCACGGGTATCCGGCGGTGTCTTCCTTGACGTGCCGAGACATGGACCGAAGTGGATGATGCCATTCACAAAGCCTTTCTCCAAGGCCGGCTATGGAGTGGTCGCCATCCCGCTCTGCGATGTTTCAACCGTTTCATTGGGGGTTCCTCGTTTCGTCCGGAGTGGCACGATATGGCACGATGCTTCGTGTGTTCGCTTGGACGACGTTGGTGAAACGCCTGGCCTTTCCGTGGACGCCCGTCCTTCGCACCGACCGCGGACGGGGGTCACCGCAGCGACTCGTCGGATGCGAGGCTCGGTGGATGTGGCGAAGCCACTGGCTCAGCTGGTGCAGGAGCTGAGCGAGGCGACGCATCGACTCCGTTCACCGGGCAGGGTGAGAAGCCCACAGTGGGGGTCTCGAAGGTCATGCTGGGTGGCACGGTGGCACCCATTGTAAGACACTATGCATATTATATTGATGTTTAAAAAAAACGGAACCTAGGAGAAATGTAAGCAGTGGTCCCGCTTTAGCAAACCATGGCTGATTAATTGTAAAACGATAAAAGAGTAAAAAAACCGATAACCCTCACATGTAACACATTCAATACAGTACATGAGAATAGAAGCATTGGAAATTCAAATGCCTTCAGTTCTTGAAGCAAATAGCAGTCAATTCCAGTTATTGATTTCAGGTGCATGTTTTTAAACAAGAGTGTTTCATGTCAAGGTTTTCGTGAAATACAAGCATTCAGGAGTGATTTCTTTTTTGGCTCCTTGAGCATCGCTGGGAACATGGGTAGACATTTCCTGATCCATATGAGTAAGTAGTTGCATGTACATGCATGGATTCTAATTCAGTGGATGTTAGGCCGACAAGTCAACAGCACCCATGTGAATCATTCTTGAGAATATGTTGTAGTAAGTGTTTGAGTCCGTTAGGCCACCAAAATGGGTGAAGCGTTGGGGGTTCCAAAACTATAACAAAAACGATAACAAGAATACACGAAAAAGTCCTCGGGAAGACCATGTCCCACATGTACGAATTCCAAGTTTTGAGAAATGGCCTCAAAACTCTTCAAACATCAAGGAAAGCCAGGAACTGAAGGAATTTGACCTGGAAAATAACTAAGAATTAAAAATTAACTAGTTACTTTTCCAGGTCAAATTCCTTCAGTTCCTGGCTTTCCTTGATGTTTGGAGTCTGTTTGAAGGGAATATTGAAAAATCAATGTTTCATTGAAATCATTAAAATTTGTACGCGCACACACACACACATAACAGACACCGACTTGTTTGCAGTGGAGGCAGGGACATGTGTGGTTAGCTGGGAAACGACAAGAGACTGTATACTGGTTTCCAAACATTGAAACACATAAAGAGTAAAAACACGATAAGGCTATAAGTGGTCATACAAAATGTATGTTTTTTTGTTTAATACATCGTATGGGTTAAAGATTGTTAACGTGTTGAATAAAGGGTATACCGTATATACTAGAAAGAGGAAGCATAGGGCGGAAAATCATTGATGGACGTGATGGAGAAGTTCATTCCTTTTCAGCATTTGTTACTTAGAGGGGGCGAAGTAGTGCGATAGCAAGTGCAAAGCAGAAAGAATAGGCATTTTCGGCGGAGAGGTTCGGTTCGATGCGGCAAACCCATATCAATAGGTCGATCCCAAGAGGATCAAAATCTTGCAGAACTTGCTGTTTCTCTTAATCTGCAGATCAAGTTTGCCTTGCAGTTCTTGATAATAATTCATTTGTTCTTGTTTAATTCTTTTTCCTGGCATAGTGAACTCTCCAACAGAACACCCAGCAGCTCATTCTGTAAAACGGATCGCCAGGTCACTGGGCCTGGCACGGGCACGGAGGACGGCTTGCCAGCGAGCCCGTCTCAAGGTGCTTGGAGGGTGCTTTTTGGATCTTTTTGGGGGTGGCAGCTGGAGTGTCTCACCAAAGAGCAACATGTTTGGAGCAAATAAACATCACTTGGACCAGGATCTAGCTGAGAGAAACCTATTTTTTAATCCTACAGTTTGATCATGTGTGATATTACTCCATTTTTGCATGGGTATCCTTTCTGGTCAACTTTGCAGAAAGGAGTAGCCCAAAGTAAGTCGGACAAATTCCCTGATTCTACCTCTTTGTACTTGTGCGGGAATCCATTTGTTGGGCTCTTTTGTTGGATGACAATATATATATATATACGTAACTCTATTCCTAGCTGACCGAATCCTGCAGCCAAGTGCCTTTGCCTCCAAAGGGCGCAGATTCCCAACGACACCTCGACTCCTGGATGAACAGTTTGTGGTTGCAAGTTGAGGGTTTGTTTGAGGCTCACACCGGACCTCGGGGATCCTCGGGGCCGATTTCAGAGCTACGTGATGGCTCTATCAATGCCTAGTCCAAGCACCCTGGGTTGTGTGGTTCAGATAATAACATGATATAACCTTTCAGGTGTTGCTGTGAGCACACATGGTGGACAGTTGTCCTGTGTAAACCGCTCTCGCCCAGGCCTAGCGAGGTTGGAATGCTTGACGTCCGGGTGCCCAGAAAGGGTCCGTACTCTTGGCAGACTGCTGATCAAGGCTTACAGTTTTGAACCTCTGCAATCAGTTATATCAGTAGATAATATCATATATATATATATTATAGTGATAGTGTATACTGTAATATATATATATAACATATTATATTGGAATACATACTTATATGTGTGTATGTAGGTTGATGGATTTGATTCCTCAATACTACTTCATTGAATAATGACGTTTTGTTTGTTCAGGTACTGCTGACTTCATGGAGTGGGGATTATGCGCTTGAGTTTGACTTCCATCGGAATGCCGAAGATCCCAAACTTGAACCATAGCTTGTGTCACAGCGCTGTATGTTGTCCCTGAAAGAAGTCTTGCGATGGTACGTTGACAAGGTTGGATGCCCTGCCCGTCCTTGGGGTGCCAAAAGGGCGGGCAACAAAAAAATGAGTTGCGGGTGGATCCTTGGCATGAACATCAATTGGAACTCATATGGAATCTACTCTCACTGGTAAGTGTAGAACTGCCAATGATAGACAGCCCTGAATATGTGGTGAAATTCCCTGATGGCAAACAATCCTACATACTACATATATGTTCAACTGCTGCATGCGTTCTCAAGGTTTCCAGCTGCCAAACAACCGGCTTTCGTGTAGCAGAAGCCTGCTTCAGGCCTAGACCTTTCTACCTTCCGGAGCAGGTGCATCGAAGTCATCGGCTGGGTGGTTTAAAAAGACAGTATGAAGAACTTCTCCATGAGGCAAAGCCTCTTGCTCCATCGATCCACTGCCATCAAAGTCGATCTGCCATACCAAGGTCTTCTGACTGCGTTGATTCTTTTGCTTTGGGGTTCTTCACGGATTTCTCGTTGAAAGGACAAACAAGTTTTTTCTCAGAGATGAATCCGGTGTCCTGTGTGTTGACGGTATCCTTGTTGAAGGATGACACCATATGGTTGGTGAAGTTAAAGGTCCGTGTTTCGATTGTTTCATTGGCCAAGGTGATGATATGTATGTCTATATATATAGTAACAAAATAGTAATGAATTATAAACATATTGATCTAATTTGATATATATATATATGTATATTATATATTATATATTATATAATATATATTATATATACACACATATATGATGATTTTGGAAGGAAGATTTACCTGCCAAACCCACACATGGAGAAACCAACAATGCTGGAGGCTGGAGACAAGACCCGGACCTCCAGGACCAATGATTGGCAAGCTTTGACGGAGGAATGAACACTGACGGTTTTTAAAACAGTCAAGCTAGTCGGCGAGTCTGTCATCTCAAAATCACCTTAGCAGTTTACACTAGCTAATTCCCTGCATTCTAGTGAAATAACGTGATGTTGTATCTTGCAGCACCCTTCCCAGCTAAACTCGTTTCTTCCATCCCATCGTCTCGGTCGTTCGCCCATCAAAACGACGGTGAAGAGCCTTGGGACGCTCCGTGGTGCCGCGACCAGCGCGAGAAGCCGCGACCGAGGTGGACCTCCGAGATGTGAAGGTCAGCGGTGCCCCACAGGCGAAAGACCGGACCGGACCGTCCTTTGGGGACAGATGTGCGGGGCTGTGCGGGGTGTGTCTAATTGTTTGTTTGACTGGTGCGACGTGGCACGCAGGGTGGCTGAGGGTGGCCGGATCCATTCGAATCTCTAGACAGGGGGCGAAACTTCCCTTAGTCCCTACTAAGCACCAGTCAGTTGGTTTCTTAAGAAGATGGTAGCAAATTGATGTGTCTAATGGATAGAATTGAATAGATATATCATTATATCATGATATATCAATGTGAAAAGAGATGAATGCACTCTTGTATCTCTTTTGGGGACAGTGATTTCCCAATGACCCGCATGTGTATCTCTTGTGGCGACCGACGCAACTGGGTGGCGTGGAAAGATTGTGAGACAGGCTGTCCCTTGGATAAGAACTGACACAAATCACATCAAATCACCATCCGAGGGAATCATGGCACAGTTGAACTTGAACAAACTGACTTATCATCATTCACTTTTACAAGTCAACAACCAAGTCAAAAAACTGGAGAAGAAGGTTGAACAACTTCCTGCAGCAGTTGGGAATCATGAGGAATTTGCAGTTTCTGGTCCAGGACGAAGGGTCCTTCCAAAGGGTTTATTGGATGTTATTATGATCCTTCCTATGCACGTGTCTTTGCGTTTTGAGCTTTCCATGTTAATGCATCAAGTAGCGGGCTAGCGACTGAAAGCCATCTACAAGGGCATGGGCGCCTTCTTCCAGTGTTACAACATTTTTATTCGGCCAGAGGTACGGTATCCTACGGTAGCTTCAAAAAAAAATAGACACCAGCCATCCTAAACGGATCGACTTGGGTCATTGAAGGGAACCGCTGACCTTTCTGAATGTTCCCAACGATCTTTCACTTGATGAAGATTGAACATCACAAAGAGGCAAACCGCGGGTTCCTGGATTGATGGGCCATTTTCATTGGGGTCATCTCATCCCAACTACTTAAACCTATTGAACAATGTGCAAATAATCTAAAAGAATAGACTCTAATTATATATCTCCAATTACTGTAGATTACTACACGCTGAAACTAACCCCCAAGCATGATCATCTACTGAACTCCTATGAGTCTAGGAGCAACTCTGGCTGCGTCAGGAACTTCCTCAGGAGTTCTTCTCGGAGGCACCCAGGGCGCCATGAAGAAAGAGCAAGTCGAGCCATGGATGTCCCTTCCCAGTGGTCAAGACCATGCCCTGAGTCCGCGAAAGAAGATTGTGATATATATATATATATTATACAATATATATATGTGGTTTAAGTCGTCCAAACGATCAAACGATCAAAGCGCCACTATTCAATGTTCGCCAGGATTTCCGGATGAGGTCGTGCAGCCTTTCTTTTCAAGATATCCAAAGTAGATGCACCTGCTATTTTTGAATTCTGGTCTTCGACAATCCGGCCTTTGCCGGGCCGGGCCGTTTATTTAGGAAGCTTGTTGCGACAAGTCCGGGTTAGGACAGACAGGATGTACTTTCAACACGTCATCACCACTGTAAGAATCCCAAAGCTGGTCAGACCTAGATGAGGAGGGCCAATTCCTTCTTGAAGGTTGGATTGCTGCACTATAGTACTATATTTTTATATAAGGATATAATATGTGAGTTTTACATATTATATATATATATTGAATACTCTATTAAGTATTATATATAATATGTAAAACATATATATATATATATTTACCAGGCTACCGCCTGCAGCCGCCGACCCCCAAGGGATAGAACCTTAGCGCTAGCCTTGCTCTATGTTAGCCTTAGCCTTAAGCCTTAGCCTTAGCCTTGCCTAGCCTTAGCCATAGCCTTAGACTTAGACTTAGACTCAGACCTTACTTTTTTACCTTTCCGGACCCGGGGTTTGTTGTAAAAGGGAGTTGTAGGATTTCCCAGGTATGCGTAGAAAATTGCGAACCTATTTTCTTCCATTGTCGTAGAATTTTCTAGGACTTCCTCTTGTGCTTAGGTTCCCAGATTTCCCCAAAAATTGATTAATCTATTGTTAACCTATTTGATTCTAGTGTTCCCGGCAAATGCCCTGGAATTTTCCTAGGAATGCTCTAGGCTTTGTTTAGATTTTGCGCTGGACGAGGTCCGGCCAGTGCCCGTGGTAACGTGAAAGGCT